ATTGAGACCTTTTGCTGCTATGCTCCCACAGCCACTAAGAACGGTGGAGGACTTGAATCTATTTGATCAAATGTTCAGTATAGGCACAATACGAAAATATGTCACTTCTCGTGTCTATAAGATTTTCACTACATTATTGGGATTTACTCCTCTACTGTTGTTGAAGTGAGAAATAGAGCTTGGAACATTTATTAAATGAACAGCAAAAAAAGAAAATATTTAGATTAATACACGGTGTGACGGAGGGTAGGCAGGACAGAACACACAGAGTAGATGGCAAACGCAAAAAGCTTTAATGAGACAAACAGATGACAGTCACGCAATAGAAGGACTTGCGGGGAGGGTAATTCGCCAGTACAGGGTAGCAAGGAGGTGCTAAAACACTTATAGTCCAACCCCAATAGCCAAGGAAGAGTCTCTGTAGCAATTGTAATCCAACACGGGGTGTGGGGGGGTCAGTACAGGAACAGTTCAGGTAAAACAGGGAGATGCATATACTCACGGATCCGATAGGGTGCCTGGTCTCCCAGGGATAGAAAGTGGAACACAGGTACCTGTTGGAGTCCAGATCATGCCTGTGGTCTCCCCTTCTGGGCTGAGTCCCCTGTGCTGGGGGTCTCGGGCAGCTAGCAGGTAATCTCTCCCCTGGACTGGGGGTCTCTGGCAGCTGACAGGCAATCCCTCCCCTGGACTGGGGGTCTTGGGCAGCTAGCAGGCAATCTCCCCTGCTGGGGGTCTCTGGCAGCTGGCAGGCAATCTCTCCCCTGTGCTGGGGGTCTCGGGCAGCTGACAGGCAATCCCTGCCCTGGACTGGGGGTCTTGGGCAGCTAGCAGGCGATCTCCCCTGCTGGGGTCTCTGGCAGCTTGCAGGCAATCCCTCCCCTAGGCTGGGGGTCTTGGGCAGCTGTGGGTGCAGTTCCCCGTTTGGCTAGGGGGGTCTGCAGAGTCTGGCCCCCAAAGGTCTCGCTGCAGCTATGCTCCTTCGGTGGCTGGCGCAGTGGTGAACAATGACCCGGAGCACCCGGCATCAGCTTCTTAAGCTGATGCGGGACGCTCCCTGGTCGTCTCGTGAACGCGGCCTTTGTCCAGGGACTTTCGCAAGCGCGGGAACTTCCCGTGCCCGCGCTGCGGGTGAAACGACTGAGGTGGCATCAGCGAGACTCCGTAGCCCAGAATATCCCTGCGGGAGGCTCGCGCCTCTCCGTGGAGAGGTGAGAGTCTTGCCACCTTCTCCTCTCCGCTGCAGCCGGGGAGGGAGAAGATAGTAGCAGGGGTGATGAAAGCCGCACCTCTCATCCCACGGCGGCAGGATGAGAGGTGGAGGGGAGGTCACTGGACCACAGGGAGGAATCGGGCTGGTGACAGAGGACACAGCGAGGGGCCAGGATGACACTGGACCCCTGGGGACATCAAAGGGGCTGGTGCAGGAAATGACCCAGGGCCGTGGAGGACATGCAGCCAGCTGGCCGGGAGGGGGGGAAGCCACCGGAATGGAACTTGGCAGAGGTCCCTATACCGTGACACACGGGGTTGTTGATATGAAGGCGGTAGAAATGAATTATAAATGTATGGCAAGGTAGTATATTACACCTAAAGTGGCACATAAGCAACAAGCGGGGAAATCGCTTTTATGTTGGAGAGGGTGTGGGATAAAGAACAATGGCACAGATATGGTAGGACTTTCCCAAGATATGGGAGTATTGGGAGGAAATAATACACCAAATACAGGAGATTACAGGGATGAGTATTTAGAACGACCCATGGGTTTGTTTATTCTATCATATCAACCTCTAGGTGAAACAAAATAAGAACATGATGATATACCATCTAATAAAAGCAGCAAAAGGATTAATTCTGAACTTCTGGCAGGTTTAGGAGATACCAAGAATAAAGGACTGGATACACAGGGTGGAATATAAAAATATATATATAATGGAGGCACTATATCATATCGCAGAGGATAAAATTGAGAAATTCAGAAGAACATGGGAAATTTGGAAGGAGTTTAAAATCTCAAAGAGATATTTGGAGTTGGTGGAGCCTTGAATGAAGAGAGAAAAAATTTTGTTAAATGTAAGGAAAGATGGCAGGTGAAAGAAAGATCTGGAGAAGGAAGCCGGAGGGAGTAATGGAGGAACAGGAGGATTAGGAAGAAACAGGGAAAAGAGAATTGGGAATATAAAAAGTGTGTGTGGGGGGGGGGGGGGGGGGGGGTGGTGAAAGGTTTTTGGGGGAAATTATAAGTTAGAACATGTATTTTGAAATGATGTATATTTTGTTGGTTTTTTTTGTATGATGATATTTATCAATAAAAATATTATGGAGTTTTTTTCTTTTTTATATATATATATATATATATTTGAGATCTGTAGTATAGTTCTGCTCTCACATTAAAGCGGAACTAAAACAATCAATTTAATGGTTTCCCAAAGCAGTTACATTCCTGGCATGTCTGCAATGCTAACTGTCACATTTTCTTGCGCTCTCAACTAAACTGTCAAATCGTCAAATGGCTGGTGTTATAACTGATCACATGTGCAACACCATGGCAGTTGCAGGTCAAACAGAGGCTAAAATGGCAACTTTCTTAGCTGAAAAGGGTAGGAGGGTTTAATTCCGCTTTGAGTTCATGTTGACCTCCCCTGCCTTAAATTTCTAACTAGACCACTCACTATATGCAGGGGTGTATTTACCACAAGGCAATTGCCTAGGGCAGCATTTTTCAGGGGGGCAGCACCTCCCCCCGGAAGAAGGGATATGTGCACCATGGGAATCAGGTGGCATCCAAGAGAGGCTGCAGGCTGCTTGACGGTGTATGCAGAGTCTGACTCTCGTTCCTGGGGATGTCTGGAGCTATGAAGATGAGTTTCCTTCTCTCTATCGCCGGGGGGAAGGGGGGGTAGTGGAAGGCTCTCCTGGGCAGGGGTGTTGTTGGTCAATTTCAGGCTCTGTCAGCGGGAGGGCGAAGAAGGGGGGTTGGTGGTGTTGGCCGTTCCTGTGGGGGGCAGACAATTTGCCTAGGGCAAAACCTAAATACACCACTGACTATATGTGAACTTCTTGGTATGGTGTCCTAGAATGTACAGTATATATGTAACAAAAGTTTTTATATGTATTACTGTAATTGTGAACATATATACAAGTTTACTTGCATACAATGGCTTGAGTTCAATAAACAGATTAAAACCAGTTCAATTAAAAGCGTTAAAAAAAGAAAAACAAAACAATGGCCTCTAAGAATCTGTTGTAAGGCATTCAATTTTTTCTTACATGGTTTTAGATACCTTTTAATTTCACCTTCCTAATTGACTCCAATGCATTTTAATGGAAATTACTGTATTTTTCGCTCCATAAGACGCACTTTTTTCCCCCCAAAAAGGGGGGGAAAATGTCAGTGCGTCTTATGGAGCGAATATAGAGCGGCCGGTCCGGTATTTCCACCGCCGCCGTGTCAGAATACCGGGCCGGCCGCTCAGCTCTGCAGCGGGACCTTACCTGTTCCTCTATCCAGAGGCGCGCTGTCTTCCTGGCTTCTGTAGTGTGGGCGGCTCGGTTTGACAGCCGAGTGCCCAGTGCGCATGCGCGAGAAGCGGTGCTCTTTATGAATGGTAAGGCGGCACCTGGGACACATGACAGGTCCCAGAAGCCGCCGGGCCAATCACAAAGCGCAGCGCTTCTCGCTCCTGCGCACTGGGCACCCGGCTGTCAAGCCGAGCCGACCACACTACAGAAGCCGGGAAGACAGCACGCGGCTAGATAGAGGAACAGGTAAGGTCAAACAACTCCGCGGAAGTAAGAGCGGGTACCTGTCAAATTCAGGTACCCGCTCCCCCCCCCCCCCCCCCCCCCCCCCCCAAGGTCAGCAGTCATCTCCTGTACTGTCCACAGTCTCTGGTCATCTCCTGTAGTATGTCCGCAGTCTCTGGTCATCTCCTGTACTGTGTCCGCAGTCTGTGGTCATCTCCTGTACTGTGTCCGCAGTCTGTGGTCATCTCCTGTACTGTGTCCGCAGTCCCTGGTCATCTCCTGTACTGTGTCCGCAGTCCCTGGTCATCTCCTGTACTGTGTCCGCAGTCCCTGGTCATCTCCTGTACTGTGTCCGCAGTCCCTGGTCATCTCCTGTACTGTGTCCGCAGTCCCTGGTCATCTCCTGTACTGTGTCCGCAGTCCCTGGTCATCTCCTGTACTGTGTCCGCAGTCCCTGGTCATCTCCTGTACTGTGTCCGCAGTCTCTGGTCATCTCCTGTACTGTGTCCGCAGTCTCTGGTCATCTCCTGTACTATGTCTGCAGTCCATTAGTTCAGAATATTTTTTTTTCCTGTTTTCAGCCTCTAAAACCTAGGTGTGTCTTATGGTCAGGTGCGTCTTATGGAGCGACAAATACGGTACATTTCTCAATTTCATTTAAGCAGCAGTAGATTATATACTAAACTATTCCAGAAAAAATGTACTTACTACAGCACTAAAGACTCATGAAACATTGGTCAATACAGACTGAATTAAATTAGGTGCGGAGATTGCTTGTACATTGGTTATCACAGAATTGCTGTTATCTTGTAAATTTAAGAAAGTGTTATGTTATATTGGGGTAGTCTATTCAGAATGAGCTTGACCTGTTGACCATTTATATAAGAAGATAATCTTGCCTTCTGTTAACTAATTAGCCTTGGTACCTTTCTGTCATTTCTGCATAATTGATTTATGCATGCTTCAGCATTAATAAAATTGTAAAAATAAAAAAATTAATCAGGCATGTATACCATGTCAGACTTTGAAGTCCAAGGTAAATGTCATCCGCCAATAGTTGTAGTCATCATCCAACTATTTCTGAACTTTTCCCTAAAGTTTATTTGGCTTTCTTTAGTATGTTGTTACCCAACCTAACTGGGGTCTGTGTAAATTACTGCAGCTACATATTTAGCACAGTGTACAAGGATGATGCACATTTTAAATAGTATTCTGTATAAATATTAATTGTATAATCGTCTTTTTACCTACAGGGCTATCATGTGGAGATCCTGGCACTATACCAAATGGTCGGGTAACTGCTCCAAGTTTCAATGTTGGCTCAAAAGCCACTTATACCTGCAATGAAGGGTAGGTTTATATGATAAAGTAAATCTCTTGTTTTTTATGTACACATTTATAATCACCATCTTTCTATTTAACCTCCCTGGCGGTATGATTATGTCAGGAATTTTGTACCAAAAGCTGTACCATTTTTTTGCATGGAAATATGTATTTTTTTTATTGTAGGCCTGTAATTTAGGAATAACTCCCCGAAATCTGTCCGAACAAGAGTCTAGTAAACATTCCGGATATGATAAAACTTGAAACACGAAATCATAAATTATAATTTAATAAATACTCATAAAAAATAATATAATAAATTTAATTCAATAATATAATCAAACCAAAAACACTGACATTTGAAATATAGCGCCACGTTCGCACATCACTGAGCAAAGTCGCAAAATCGTTTTCAGTGTCTGATGATGAATTTCCCCACGAATCATTATCACTCAATTCTGCAAGTAGTTCTGATTTACTATCGCTGTTCTCTAGCTGGTCTAAAACCGATTTTGACCTAAAGGGACGCTTTTTGGACGCCGTGGACTTTTCTAAGTTTCCAGGCAGAAAGAACAGTCAAAATGCAGGCAGGGCACAGGACAAAGCAGTAGGGACAAAATGTATGCGAAATGCTTTGATACAGGAATGTTTTGCTATGAAATAATCGTTTTAAAAAAAATACGTTTTTTTTAACCACTTGCCGCCCAGCCATTGTAGATATACGGCGGCAGGGCGGCACTCGCAGGCAAAACCACGTTTTACAACCAAATAGAGGGCGCGCCGCCACCCTATGTGTCCCGCCGATCACCGCCGCAGATGTGAGTCGCCGGGACACAGCCGTTCCGGCGATCAGCGGCAAACAGTGACAGACTGCACAGCTGCAGTAGCTGTGCTGTCTGTCACTTCCCTGTCAGCTCGAGGATGAGCTGATCGAGAAAGAACAGTTTCTCTTTCTCGATCAGCCTTGTCCTGTCCAGTACACACCCCCGCCCCCTAGTAAAACACTCCCCTCACTCCTATAACCCTTCCCTGCAAAATAAAGTTAACCCCTTCCTCCCCATTGCCATTAGTACAGTGTCAGTGTTTTTTTTTTTTTTTTGCACTGATCACTGTATTAGTGTTTTTGGGGATGTCAGTGACCCCAAGTCAGTACCCCCCAATGTCAGAATGTCCGTCGCAGTCCCGCCAGAAGTCGCTGGTCGCTGCCATAAGTCCCTGATCGCCACCATAATTCACTGATTGCCGCCGTTATTAGTATAAAAAAAAACCCCTAAAAATCCCAGTATCTTTCCCGCCATTTGTAAACGCTATAACTTTCACGTAAACCAATTCATTTGCACATATTGGGTTTTTTTTTTTTAGCAAAGACATGTCGCAGAATGCATTTTGGCAGAAATTTATGACTAAATTTGATTTTTTGCATTTTTTTTTTTTACTGGACATGTTTTATAGCAAAAAGTCCAAAAGATTGTTTTTTTTTTTTCCTCAAAATTGTCAGCCTTTTTTTTTTATAGCGCAAAAAAAAAAAAAACGCACAGGCAATCAAATACCACCGAAAGAAATCTCAATTTGTGGGGAAAAAAAGGATGTAAATTTCATTTATGTACCGTATTGCATGACCGCGCAATTGTCCATTAAACTAGCGCAGTGCTGTATATAGCAGAAAAATGGCGTAAATTGCAGTATTTATACCATAGTTTTGTAGATGCTATAACTTCCACACAAAGCAATCAATATACACTTATTGGGATTTTTTTTTACAAAAACTATATTTTTTTATAGCTGAAAGTAAAAAATATTGTTTTTCTTCCAAATTTTTGGCCTTTTTTTGTTTATAGCGTGAAAAATAAAAAGCGCACAGGTGATCAAATTACACCGAAAGAAAGCTCTATTTGTGTGAAAAAAGGACGTAAATTTCGTTTGGGTGCAGCATTGCATGACCGCGCAATTATCAGTTGAATTAGTGCAACGCCGAGTAGCAAAAAGAGGCCTGGTCATTAAGGGGGGTAAATCCTCTGGAGCTCAAGTGGTTAAATTTTCAAATTTGCCACCGGTTCCGGCGCCCGTACGTCCCGACGTCACAGGGACCGGAACACAGAAACCAGATGCCGGCATCGGCCGGAGGAGATGGCCGGGGACGCATCGCGGGAGCGAAGGACAAGGTAAGCGCTGTAGGGAATCCCTGTGCAACGCCGCATGGTAAGCCTGAGTGTAGCTCAGGGTTACCGCGCTTTTGGTACTGAAACTTTACCCCGAGCTACACTCGGGAATACCGCCAGGGAGGTTAAAGTAATTAGTAGTAACCAGCTATAAATAACCTCATAAAAATGGCTAAGAGAAACCGTTTTTGTGATGGTTCACGTAAATAGCTCATTCTCTACATACATTGTATAATTATCATAAGGTTTATATATATATATATATATATATGTGATTTTGCGTACCCATGCCGCCCTGTAGCAGTATTTCTGCTGTAGGGTGGTCAGGAAGCTGTTACAGAAGAGGTTTGTGTTACGGCGCTGCGTTACTTTAACTGACAATTGCGCGGTCATGCAACACTGCACCCAAATTAAATTTACATCCTTTTTTTCCCCACAAATTGAGCTTTGGTATTTGATTGCCTGTGCGTTTTTAATTTTTTGCGCTATAAAAGAAAAGGCTGACAATTTTGAGAAAAAAAAAACAATATTTTTTGGACTTTTTGCTATAAAACATGTCCAGTAAAAAAAATAAAAAAAAATTTTTTAATTTTGTCACAAATTTCATCCAAAATGTATTCTGCTACATGTCTTTGCTAAAAAAAAATCCCAATACGTGTAAATTAATTGGTTTATATGAAAGTTATAGTGTTTACAAATGGCGGGAAAGATACTGGGATTTTTAATTTTTATTTATACGAATAATGGCGGCGATCAGCGACATATGGCGGCGATCGGCGACTTATGGCAGGACTTCGGGACTGCGGCGGACATTTTGACACTGGGGGGGAACTGACCTGGGGTCACTGACATCCCCAGTGACACCAATACAGTGATCAGTGAAAAAAAAAACCCACTGACACTGTACTAATGGCACTGGGGAGGAAGGGGTTAACATTTTTTTCACTGAAAGGGTTAGGGGAGTGTTTTTTACTAGCGGGTGGGGGTGTGTGCTGGACGGGGGCAGACTGATCGAGAGAGAGAGAAGCTCTTCTCTCCCTCTTCAGCTTGTCACGAGCTGTCAGGGAACTGACACAGAGCAGGGCTGTGTGTAAACAATGCAGCCCTGCTCTCTGTCAGCGATCACCGCTAATCCCGGGGAAACGGCCGGTAATCACCGGCCGTGACCCGGCGGCTGACACCCGCTGCTGACACCTGCGGGACAGGTGGGGCGCGCGCTGCGCATTTTAAAATGTGGTTTTTGCCCAGCCGTGCCGCCCTGCCACCGTTTTAATGCGGTGGCTGGGCGGCAAGTGGTTAAATGTTCATTCAAGGGTGCCAGTGTGTATTTTTTCCTTTTGGGGGAATCTACTACGGTTGTTCCTCCAGGAGGCATTATTAAATTGGCAACCTTGGCCCACCTGGGAACTTGTATTACTGGAGGATGACTGCTGTGGCACTGTGGTGCCTGTATCATTTTGATGTGAAGCACTCTATTGTGCCTATATCACCAAGCACTGTTGCACCCCCTGGACTTTGGATGCTGATCAGTGCACATCTTCTGGTTGCACTGGGCATAGTAAGTGTTGATGTTCCTTGGTCCTGGAGCTCCAGCTGCTTGTTGCACCTAGGCACCCAACTGCTGTACTTGATCATGGCTACTATATGAATACCTTGGCTAATACTCTTCACCAAATATGCCCAATGAGTCTCTTGTTTATCCACATACACAGGATCCTCTGGCTAAAATGCTGGTTTACTGAATTCCTATGCAAGAAACACCTTGAAAGGCTTATCTTTGAGGGTGAATGCTTGCTTGGTACCTCGTTGAACAAGTACATCAAGGAGATCACAGGAAGTAAGCGTATATTCCTTACATAAAAGTACAATTAGGTTCATATATATTTGGACACAAGCACAATTTTAGATTTTTTTCAAGTATTTACCAAAACATATTCAAACTATAGTTTTATATAATGGATATGGGATGGATATGAAACTCTCCAAATTGGAGGAAGGGTTTAGGATTTCCAGCTCTTAAGAGTAGCCCCCCCCCCCCCCTTTTTCAAGGGACCAAAAGTTATTGAACCAAAAGCTGTTTCATGGTCAGGTGTTGGCTACCCCTTCGTTATTTCTTCAACAATTAAGCAGGTAAAAAGGTCTGGAGTTGTTTCTAAGTGTGGTATTTGCATTTGGAATCTATTGCTGTGAACCTATATCATGCGTTCAAAGAAGCTGTCCATGCAAGTGAAACAGGCCATTGCAAGGCTTCAAAAATGAAACAAATCCATCAGAGAGATAGCAGCAACATTAGGAGTAGCCAAATCAACAGTTTGGTAAATTCTTAGGAAAGAAGAACGCACTGGTGAGCTCAGCACTAGAAAAAGACATGCACGTCCATGGAAGACAACAGTGGTAGATGATTGCAAAATCCTCTCTATGGTAAAGAAAACCCCATTCACAACAACCAGACAAGTAAAGGACACTCTTCATTATAAAAGTCAACAATCGAGAAGACTTTATGAGAGCAAATACAGAGGGTTCAACACAAGGTGCAAACCATTCATAAGCCTGAAGAATAGAAACGCCAGATTAGACTTTGCCAAAAAACATCTAATAAATCCAGACCAGTTTTGGAAAATCATTTTTTGGATGGATGAAACCAAGATTAATCTTTACCAGAATGACGGGAAGAAAGTGTGGAGAAGGCTTGGAACAGCTCATGATCCAAAGCACACAACGTCATCTGTAAAACATGGTGGAGGCAGTGTGATGGCATGGGCATGCCTGGCTTCCAGTGGCACCGGGTCATTGGTGTTTATTGATGATGTGACAGAAGACAGAAGCAGCCGGATGAATTCTGCAGTGTTTAGAGATATACTGTCAGTCCAGATTCAGCCAAATGCAGCAAAGTTGATTGGATGGCGCTTCACAGCAAGAGCAACCCAGGAGCTTTTGAAGGAAAAGAAGTGGAATATTCTGCAATGGCCGAGTCAATCACCTGATATCAACCCAATTGAGCATGCATTTCACTTGCTGAAGGCAAAACTAAAGGCAGAAAGACCCACAAACAAAGAACAACTGAAGAGAGCTGCAGTTAGAGCCCTTAACAAGTGGGAGGCACATATGCAAACTGTTGTAATTCCTACACCGTTCACCTGATTTGGATGTAAATACCCTCAAATTAAAGCTGACAGTCTGCAGTTAAAGCACACCTTGTTCGTTTCATTTCAAATCCGTTGTGGTGGTGTATAGAGCCAAAAATGTTAGAATTGTGTCGATGTCCCAATATTTAGGGACCTGACTGCAGATGTGGGCAAAATTAAGAGAAGGCTGGTGAGAAGTAGCTCTCAAACCAGAAGATAAACGAAAGTATTCAAGACCAATGCTAATAGGCTTGATGAAACCAAACTGCAAGCAAGGATATAAAAAATATAACCTATTCCTAATGATTAAAAAGCCAGTGTCCTGTATTGTATTCCAGGAAAAAAATCTTACTGGTAAGTAAAAAAATCTTATTTTACTATGAGCAGTAGAAACACAGCCTTTAATCACAAAGTTGTGGGAGATCCTGTTATGAAAATTGTTTTCTAGATGGAAAAAACACCTCATATTGGAGGTCTATAAAATAGAAGATACCAAGTGCATGCGTTACATTTTTATGTACAAAGAGCTTTATATATATATATACAGAATGTTTACTGTTGCTCTTTAGATATATGATGAACACAACGCAGACTTTTAGAACATGTCAAGAAGATGGAACATGGAGCACAGCAATTGCCTGCAAAGGTACAGCCATAACTTTGAAAACTGTTATTGTGTATACTAGCAAAGTAATATACTATCTTTAGAATCTGATTTTTACTAGTTAATATGACTTTAGCAGTCACGAGAAAATACAGATTGGTAATATGTTCCCTGTCTCTATGAAATTTCCTTCTAAATGAAGGGTAATTGTTTGGGGAATAAAACAACAACCTTACATAAGACACGTCCTATAAAGTTGCATAAATGTTTTTGTAACTGCTGTTCCTGTATCGTATTTTTATATAGTTTCAAAACTACAACCACAATGCTATGCACAGTAATAGTACATATACACAGCCCTCCAAAAACCAAAGATACAAGTCTATAGAGTTCATAAGATAAATAGATGGGTGTATGATCAGTGAAAGAGTATCCTGCAGCTCCTTATGTGAAGATCTAGAAAGGATCCCATCAGAAGCACATGTAATTAAAAAAAAAAAAAAAAAAAAAAAAAAAAAAAGCAGGTCGTAGGAATTGGTAAAATCGATAGAGCATCACTTTATTGCAATGAGCACACTTGCATAAAAAAAAGCTCTGATACAGCTCCAGAGGCAAGTGATGGAAAGGCAATGCCAGAGCAGCAGTCCTGTTTCCCTAATCAGGCAGCTTCTGTGCATGCATGTAGGACCTGCCTCCTTTCAGACAATAACACATATCTGAAACATGCTACGGATCCATTGGAAACCCACAAGCCAGAATTAAAATGCTTGCTAGATTGCAAATTGCTGAAGAAAGGCATTGACAAAAGTAAATTTCAGTTTCTGTATAGGAATCTATTCAAACACCCATGTTTTTTTACCATCCTTCAAAAGTGCATAAAAATCTCACTAACCCTCCTGGTAGGTTCATCATAGCATCCATGGAGAATATAACTAGTGGGCTTTCACAGTACATAGAATTTTTTTCTTGCAATCCCTGGTACAGTCCCTCCCTTCTTATATCAGATATTATTATTATATAGTATTTATATAGCACCAACGGTTTGCTCAGCGCTGTACATTATAATTGGAGACAGTACACGAGACAGTGCAGTAACAATACAATACACGAGGGGTTCGAGGGCCCTGCTCCTTGGAGCTTACAAGCTCTAGGAGGGAGGGGAGAGTGGTACAGGAGGAAATAGCTGTGGGGGATGGAGTGGTGGGAAGAGCGGAGGAGATCAGCGGTTAGGTGAGATGGGTTCTCAGGGTGTGCCTAAAGGTGAGGAGGGAAGGTGACAGTCTGATGGATTGGGGTAGTGAGTTCCAGAGGATGGGGGAAGCCCTGGAGAAGTCCTGGAGATGGGCATGGGAGGAGGAGACCAGGGAACTGGAGAGTAGGAGGTTTTGGGTGGTAGATGGATATCAGGTCGGTGATATAGTTTGGAGCAGTGTTATGAACAGCTTTGTACGTCAATGTTAATATTTTGAATTTTATGCGGGCAATCGGAAGCCAGTGGAGGGATTGGCAGAGGGGGTGGCGGATATGGAGCAGTTGGTACGGTGGATGAGTCTGGCCGCAGAATTCAGGATAGACTGAAGCGGGGATAGCCTGTGTTGGGGTAGGCCCGCGAGGAGGGAGTTACAGTAGTCAAGTCGGGAGATAAGGGAGTGAATGAGTTGCTTTGTAGTTTCAGGAGTTAGGAACGTGCGTATTTTGGAGATGTTGCAGAGGTGGTGTCAGGGCTCCGGGTATGACCAGAGGTGTGTGGACTGACACAGGGAAACGCAGGCTTCAGATATAGTATAAACAATATAATTTATTTAAGACTAAACAATACATAAACGCATTGCAAGACTAAACATAAACACCGTGCAAACAAACCAAACCAAAACCACCAACAGATAACAAAAGAACAATACTAAGCGTAGTCGGGCAGGCCGGGTCGGTAGCAAACGGGCAGGCAAGGTACAAAGGAGCAGGCAGAGCGTAGTCAGACGGGCCGGGTCAGGAACAATCAGGCAGACAAGGTACAAAGGAGCAGACTGGAGAGTGGTCAGGAATAGCAGAGGTCAGGACAGGCGGAGTTCAATCAGAGTCGGGGATCAAGCAGGATCAGACGGGAAGCAGACAGGATGCAGGTACAGGGGCTCTTGGGAAACATACACCAAGGCCCTGATTGCAAGTCTGGCCATTCCTTATATGCACCTTCTGCAATCAGCCTCAGGTGTTTTGGCTGACTGCAGGAGTGAGCCTCTGGTTGCTGAGAGCACCCGCTGGCCAGTCCTGGTACTGCAACCCACAAGGCAGGTGAGTCCCACCACTATTGGCGAGTCCATTCCTGACAGGTGGAGTCTGCATGAATATGTCAGCGATTGGGCTGGAAAGACAGAGTGGAGTCTAGAATGACACCTAGTACTCTGGCTTGCGGGGTGGGGCTGATGGTGGCGTTGTTGGTCGTGATGGAGAGGTCGGGGGGGGGGGGGGGGCTGCGGGGAAAATATAGGAGCTCGGTTTTGGCAAGGTTTAATTTGAGGAAGTGGAGTGACAATCAGTCTGATATGTCGTTCAGAAAGCTAGTGATTCGGGCAGAGACTGAAGGAGTGAGGCGAGGGGTAGAGAAATAAATTTGAGTGTCATCAGCATAGAGATGGTAGTTGAAGCCATGGGAGTGTATCAGTTGACCAAGGGAGGAGTTGTAGATTGAGAAGAGAAGGAACCCGAGGACAGAACCTTGGGAGACCCCAACAGAGAGGGGGAGTGAGGGGGAGGTGGCAGCGTTATAGGTAAGACTGAAGAAGCGTTGAGATAGATAGGAAGAGAGCCAAGAGAGAGCGGAGTCTCTGAGGCCAAAAGAGTACAGTTTTTTGAGGAGGAGGGGGTGGTCGACCGTGTCGAAAGCCGCGGAGAGGTCGAGGAGTAGTAGCACTGAGTAGTGGCCATTGGCTTTGGTGGTTAGCAGGTCGCTGGTGAGTTTGAGCAGGGCGGTTTTGGTGGAGTGTAGGGGACGGAAGCCAGATTGTAGGGGATCAAGGAGGTTGTTGTCAGTGAGGTGGGAGCTTAGGCGATTATAGGCTAAGCGCTCAAGGAGTTTGGATGAGAATGGCAGCAGGGAGATGGGTCTAAGGTTGTTTAGGTCAGTGGGATCCAGGGAGGGTTTTTTAAGTATGGGAGTGATGTGCGCGTGCTTCAGGAGGGAGGGGAATGTGCCAGTAGAGAGGGAGAGATTAAAGATGTGAGTGAGGGAGCGTAGGATGGAGGAGGATGGAGATCGTAGGAGTTGTGTGGGGACAGGGTCAAGGGGGCAGGTGGTAAGGCGAGCTTCAGAGAAGATCTTAGTGACCTCTTCAGTGGTAGCAGGGTCGAAGGAGTAGAGTGTTGAGGGGGTTTTCGTGTGAGGGATGCTAGGTGGGGCGTAAGTCTGAGCAGCGGTGATGTCCCTGCGAATTGCGTCGATCTTGCTTTGGAAGTGGTTAGCAATCTCATGGGCGGTGAGTGAGGTACCGGGTGGAGGTGGGGGCAGAGAGAGCAGAGAGTTGAAGGTGGAGAAGAGCCGGCGAGGACTGGAGGAGAGGGTATTGATGAGGGTTACAAAGTAGGCTTGCTTGGCAGCGTGGAGGGAGGAAGTGTAGGTGAGGAAGGCGGATTTGTATCAGGTGAACGCTTGTTGGGATCAAGCGTCGCTTGAGGTTTTTGGTATGGACATTCTGCCAGGGTTGAAGCGGTCGGGGTCCAATGTTTCATGTGGTTAGGGGTGCTAAGGAGTCAAGAGCGGCTGACAGCGAGTTGTTATAGACAGTAGTGGCCAGGTCAGGGCAGGACAGGGGAAGGATACTGTTGTAAAGTTGGTCGGCTGCAGAGTGGAAGGGGGCAGAGTTCAGGTTGTGGAGGTTTCGGCTGGTGATGGTTTGACGTTTTGGAGGGGTAGGTGTAAGAGGACGAGGAGACGGAGAAGGTGATGAGGTTGTGGTCAGAGAGGGGAAAACGGGTGTTTGTGGGGGGTTCAAAAATGAGGGAAAACAAGGTCCAGGGTGTTCCCGTCGGAGTGGGTGGAGGACTGTATGCACTGTATGAGTGCAAAAGAAGAGGTTAGGTGGAGGAGTTGGGATGTGCCCGGGCTATTAATGTTGGTAGGGATGTTGAAGCCTCCAAGGATGATGGTGGGCAGCTCGGAGGAGAGAAAGAAGGGTAACCAGGCGGAGAAGTCGTCGAGGAAGCAGGATACGGGTCCAGGGGGCCGATAGAGTACTGCGAACCTCAGGGGGATTGGAGAGAATAGTCGGATGCAGTGGGCCTCAAAGGAGGAGAAGGATAGAGAGGGAGGGTTAGGGAGGACTTGGAAGGTGCTCTGCGGTGACAGGAGCATACCAACCCCACCACCTTTTTGACCGCTGGGTCTAGGTGAGTGGGTCCAGGTAAGACCTCCATAGGAGAGTGCTGCAGGGAAGGTAGAGTCGGTGGTTTGGATCCAGGTTTCAGTGATTGCCAGGAGGTTGAAGGAGCGGGAGACAAAGAGGTCATGGATGGCGGTAAGTTTGTTGCAAACCGAACGGGCGTTCAGGAGTGCACACGAAAACGGAGGGGTGGTTTTGGGGAGCAGGGGGACCGGTATTAGGTTGAGGGAGTTGCGGCAGTTCATGGAAGTAGGTAGGTGGCTTGTGGGTGAGTGAGGTGGAGGAGGACCAGGGTTTGGGGAGATGTCCCCCACGGTTAGGAGGAGAAGGGTACGAAAAGTGGCATGGGAGTGGGATGTACAAGAGCGTGTGATTCTACCATTGGTGGCGTTCGGGTCAGTGGGAGAGTGGAGTAACAGGAGGAGGTGGTGAGAGCCGTAGAGTGCAGATGGAAGCAGTGAGGGCGCGATGTATAGTTGTTTGGGAGGAGCGGGGGGATAGAGAGAAGAGATTTTGGGGACCGAGGAGAAGAGTACGAGGAGCAGGAGTACAGGTGGCATTTTAGGGAGGAAAACGAAGCGGTGGACAAATGAGGTGGAAAATGTCTCAGGGCGCATGGTTTTAGACAGTCGGCGTGTAGTGGCGTATCTCGTAGCTGTACCTTTCCGTGACAAGAGTTCTCATGCTTAGGATCAGGGTTGGTAGAGTTCCATTCGGCCAGTTGTGGTCAAGGGTAGTCAAGTTGCAAGTTCCAGTTTGTGTCAGGCCCAGTGGAGGGGTGAGGTTTGGCTTGAGAAGATGCGGGGTGGGAGTCAGCAGTGGAAGTATTTCCGGGGGTCGTCAGATGGGCTTCGGGTCAGGGCAGGGTTGCGCCGGGGTAGGCCTCACCAGGTCGAGATCATCCGTTGGGCTTGAGGAGATGCGGGGTGGACGTCGGATGGGCCGCGGGTCAGGGCAGGGTTGTGCCGGGGTAGGCGATGGTAGGTCTCTCCAGGTCAAGATCGTCCGTTGGGCTCGGCAGGTCCGGGCAGGGTTGCGACGTGGGGGGCGATGGTAGGCCTCACCAGGCTGGGTTCGGCGGCGTGGGAGTAGGGTTGCGACGTGGAGGGCGATGGTAGGCCCCACCAGGTCGAGATATTCCCTACAACCCCTTGGAACTTTGGTTAATTATTCCTGGGAACAGTCTTACCGCTGGCTATCCCTGGCTGTTATTTCGCTGTTCACAGTGACATCTCATGATGTGGGCCTTATTGCTTTGGGCCTTTTTCTAGCCAAGGAACCAGACCTGTATCATACTTCGGTTCATTTCATTCTGAATAGTACATGTTTTTGTTGTGAGCACAACTACCTCAGATTTCATGGGGACTATTCTGTCCAGATACAGGGCACCATCATGGGCACGTCCCTGAACTTTCCACTTCTTAATAAGCGATTGAACAGTACTGACTGACATATTCAAGGCTTTGAATATCTTTTTATATCCATTTCCATCTTTATAAAGTTCCATTACAGGTATTTTGACAGTGTGAGAGCTAACAAACTCCCTGGCTATTTATACACAGAGACCATTTGCAATTTAAAAATCATAGATGTGTAAAATAAACCTTTAACCACTTGCCCTCTTGAGGATTTACCCCCCTTCCTGACCAGGCCATTTTTTGCTGTTCGGCACTGTGCTATTTCAACTGGCAGTTGCGCGGCCATGCAATGCTGTTCTTTTGGTGGTATTTGATCACCTCCTGCGGTTTTTATTTAAAAAAAACAATTTTTCACTTTTGGTTATAAAATATATCTGATAATCTCAAAGTTCATCATAAATTTAGGCCAAAATGTATTCTGCTACATGGCTTTGGTAAAAAAAAAAAAATCTCAATACGTGTATATTATTTGGTTTCTGTGAAAGTTATAGCGTCTTTTACATAGCTTTTACTTTCTGATTGCCTATCACATTTCTTGAGGCCTAAATACCTGGCCAGTACAACCTCCGCACCCCCCCAAATGACCCCTTTTTGGTAGACACTGTAACGGTCGCGGCGTCAGACCCCAGCCCTTGTCACCAAACACGTGACTGAAGGACTAGCCAATCTAAAACCACGATGTCACGTGCGTAACAATGCCCCGCCCAGCTGCACCCTGCACACCGATTTTCCAGCTAATGGACTACAATCTGTGTACCTGAAGCCTGGACGCAATTGTTACTGGGTCAGGTTAATTACGCAATTAACCCTTCACACTGCCACCACCTCCTTTTTATACAGAGAAAGAGGAAACTCAGCAATACATTAGGATGATTGGTTAACCGTCAGTATCCCGCTATCTCTACAGACCGCTTATACAGAGGGTTAAATACTCATAGTAGCGCTCTTCAGCGGCAGGGATTTGTAAGTTACATTCAGGAGCTATAGAAACAGTTCAACACTTTTAGAAAGTAAGATTTATTACCAAAAGGTCAAAAGGGTGCAGTAAAAAATATTTACAAAAAGAAGATGTAACCAATATATATATAAATATACAGAGCACAGATAACAGAAAGAAGTTTAGGTAAATAAGTACTTGCCAAATAAATGCCTGGGGTTAAGCAGTTTCAAGCCTGATGAGCTAAAAAGGGATTTCTGGTCTTGCACTCAGTTTCGTTGGTACAGCGCAATTCTCCTTTGCACTCGGTTTGCTAGATGGTAAAGCGCCGAATGTCTTCACTTCTCTGACTACACACAAAACATAACAGCTTCTTTTCTCTACTCCAAAATCAACTGGTATCTTCCTACAACGGACAAGCCAATACCTTATTTGGCAAGAGGATTGTATAGACAGCCCCTTAGCAAGGTACGCTGAACGCATTCCTGAGGGAGGGGGGAAATCGGAGGAGAGAGACTGATTTGTTTTTGGATAGATACCAAAATGTAGATGCTTGGAGCAGAATGGATGACCGTGCCCATCTCTGTGTTCTTTGTGTTCATGATTGTTACAGACACCCCAAGGATTTTGCAGAGAGGCATGTTCAGTCCATGGAACATTTTTATTATTTGCCACAAATATTTTGAATATGACTTTTTTTTTTTCTTGCACAAAGTTGTCACTTTAATGATATATTGCTCATGCATGCCATGGGTATATGTGGAATAACACCCCCAAAAATAAATTCTTCTACTTCTCCCGAGTATGGGGATACCACATATGAGACTTTTTGGCAGCCTAGCTACATACAAGCCCCCAAAATCCAATGACTACCTCCCGGCCTGCAAAGGACATATTTCCTCATATCACTTCCCCACATATCACAGTTTCAGAGGCTCTAAAATTCCAGGATAGTACAAACACCTCCACTACTGACCCCTTTTTGGAAAGTAGACAACCCAAGGAATTTGATAGGAGGCATGGTGAGTATTTTACAGATATAATTTTTGTCACAAGGTTTTGAAAATGAAAAGAAAAAATACATTTTTGGTTTCTTTCTTCATTTTCTAAAAACATGTGGGAACAAATTAGATCTGCAAAAACACTCACCATGCCTCTTAGCAAATACCTTGGAGTGTCTACTTTCCATAAAGGGGTCATTTGGAGGGGTTGCTTCTACTATTCTGGCATTTCAGGGCACACATTAGAAGCTTATGCCACACATCACCCACTCTTGGAGACCAAGCCTTTTCTGACACTTTTTGTTCACATGAAAAAAGTTTTTTTGCTAGAAAATTACTTTGAACCCCCAAACATATATTTTTTTTAAAGCACAGGCCCTAGAGAATAAAACGGTGGGTGTTGAATTTTTTTACGCCACACAGTATTTGCGCAGCGATTTTTCAAACGCAAATCTTTAGGGAAAAATATACCTTTTAGAATTTGAATGCACAAAAACACAATATATTGCCCAATTGTTTGATAAAATATGATGTTATGCTGAGTAAATAGATACCAAACATTACATGCTTTAAAATTGAGCTTGCCCGTGCAATGGCAACAAAGTACATACATTTTTATTATCAATAGGCGACTCTTTAAAAGCCTTTACAGGTCACCAATTTATATTTACACAGCAGTTCTAGTGCTAGAATTACTGCCCTCGATCGGATTTTTGCGGTGATACCTCACATGCATGGTGCAACCACTGTTTTGCAGGGGTGCAATTTTATTTTTATATATTTTTTATATATTTTTTTACACTGTCCCTTTTCATTTTTTTTTTTTTTATCACTTTTAATGCCATCACAGGGAATGCAAATATCCCTTATAACTTCAATGGGCATTGTCAAATATTCTTTTTTGAGAAATCTGGGGTTCTATCAGACTTTAGATATTTCCTCTGCCCTTACATTATCTAATTTCACCAAGATTAGTGTGATCAGATGCTTTCCCAATTTACAGATGGCGCTTTTTATATCCTTCGAAACTGAAGTGATGAAATGCTCGTAGCTTCTGATTTCTTAGACTATAGAGGTGATTGGAGCCATTCTGGTTTCTGACCAGCTCTATGGTCAGCCAGCGGAACTGCCGGCTGCATTCTCAGATTCCCTTGTGGGACAGGAGAGTTCAAGAAATCTGTGAAAGGAGGCAGCAGGAGGGGGATGTCCGTTTCCACTGCTCGTAAAAACAATTTAGCAGTTAATTGGCCACTAGGATTGTTTTTACATGGCAGCCCGACTACCAGCTGAAAAAACAATACCAGGATGATGCTTGTAGCTGCAGGCATCATCCCGGTATAACCACTCAAAGTCCAGTGACGTACCAGTACATTTCTGGTCCATGTTGGGCATATACAGTTGTGTTCAAAATAATAGCAGTGTGTTGAAAAAAGTGAATAAAGGTCAAAATCCTTCTAATAGCTTTTATTTCCATACACACAAATGCATTGGGAACACTACACATTCTATTCCAAATCAAAACCTGAAGAAAAATATATCAAATTTGTGTTGTTCATCTAAAATAATTGAAGAAAAGTGAATATTAGTTCAAAAAAATTGCAGTGTTTGTATTCTTCTTTACAAACTCAAACATTCACTATATAAACTGAAAAATGTTTGAAGATTTTGCTTTCCTTTGAATCACTTAATTAACCACTAGCCTACAGGACACTTATACCCCCTTCCTGCCCAGGCCAATTTTCAGCTTTCAGCGCTGTCACACTTTGAATGACAATTGCGCGGTCATGCAACACTGTACCCATATGAAATTTTTATCATTTTTGAGACAGCTTTTTTTTGGTCACCTCTGGGATTTTTATTTTTTCTTAAACAAACCAAAAACCACTGAAAATTAAAAAGAAAAAAGTTTTTTCTTAGTTTTTGTTGTACAATTTTGTAAATAAGTGATTTTTCTCCTTCACTGATGTGCGCTAATGAGGCTGCAATGATGGGCACTGATAGGCTGCACTGATGGACACTGATGAGGAGGCACTGGTAGGTTGCACTAATGAGCATTGACATGCATCACTGATGGGCACTGAAAGGCAGCACTGTTAGGCAGCACTGACTGGCACTGTTAGGCGGCACTGACTGGCACTGTTAGGCGGCACTGACTGGCACTGTTAGGCGGCACTGACTGGCCCTGATAGGCGGCACTGATTGGCAGCACTGATAGGTGGCACTGATTAGCATTGATAGGTGGCACTGATGGGTGACATTGAAAGGCAGCTCAGATGGGCACTGATATGTGGCATTGATGTGCACTGGTATGCACTGATATGTGGCACTGATGGGCACTGGCACGTGGCACTGATGATCACTGACAGGTGGCACTTCTGGGGCCACACTGATCATCAGGGCACACTGATCATCAGTGCCCTGATGATCAGCGTACATGTCCCCTCCGCGGAAAGCCGAATTACCGGCTCTCCTCTCCTCTCGAGCTGTCAGCGTGACTGCTCGAGAGAGAGAGAAATGCCGATAACTGGCATTTCCGTGTTTACATGTGATCAGCTGTGATTGGACAAAGCTGATCACATGACCGAGCCGACATCTTCGGATCTTTCCGTGATCCGCTGTGTCCAAGGGACACAGCGCACCGGCGATCTCCGCGCTGCGCATTTTCCCTGAGCCACGCATGCGCAGTGAGAATGGTAGGACATCATATGACGTCCTATCAGAACGAGAGAACCATCTTGCACCCGTCATTGTACTATAGGGCGGGCGGAAGGTGGTTAATATTTAGTTGTATAAGCACTGTTTTTGAGAACTGCTGTACATCTGTGTTGCATGGAGTCAACAAACTTCTGGCACCTGTGAACAGGTATTCCAGCCCAGGATGATTGGACTACATTCCACAGTTCTTCTCTATTTCTTGGTTTTGCCTCAGAAACTGCATTTGTGATGTCACCCCACAAGTTTTCTATTGGATTAAGATCCGGGGATTGGGCTGGCCACTCCATAACGTCAATCTTGTTGGTCTGGAACCAAGATGTTGCATGTTTACTGGTGTGTTTGGGGTTGTTGTCTTGTTGGACCACCCATTTCAAGGGCATTTCCTCTTCAGCATAAGGCGGCATGACCTCTTCAAGTATTCTGATGTATTCAAACTGATCCATGATCCCTGGTATGCGATAAATAGGCCCAACACCGTAGTATGAGAAACATCCCCATATCATGATGCTTGCGCAACCATGCTTCACTGTCTTCACAGTGTACTGTGGCTTGAATTCAGTGTTTGGGGGTCGTCTGACAAACTGTCTCCGGCCACTGGACCCAAAAAGAACAATCTTACTTTCATCAGTCCACAAAATGTTGCGCCATTTCTCTTTTGGACAGTCAGTGTGCTCTTTGGCAAATTGTAACCTCTTCAGCACGTCTTTTTTTTCAACAGTGGGACTTTGCGGGGGCTTCTTGCAGATAGCTTGGCTTCACATAGGCGTCTTCTAATTGTAACAGTACTCACAGGTAACTTTAGACCTTCTTTGATCTTCCTGGAGCTGATTGTTGGCTGAGTCCTTGCCATTTTGGCTATTCTTCTATCCATTCGAATGGTAGTTTTTCGCTTTCTTCCACGTCTTTCAGGTTTTGGTTGCCATTTTTAAAGCATTTGTGATCATTTTAGCTGAGCAACCTATCATTTTCTGCACTTCTTTAAAAAGTTGATTGGAGAGGGAAAAAACATATAATCAAGGTATGCTGTTCTTCTTAACAATGTCTGGAGCGACCCATTTTCCTCAGAATTTCAGAGAGAAATGCACTGTAACCAGAGTGTACAACATTTGCTGCCTTCCTTCCTTAAATAAGGGCAATAATTGCCACCTGTTTTTCAAAGAATGAATGACCTCACTAATAGAACTCCACACTGCTATTATTTTGAACGTGCCCCTTTCAATTAGTGATTCAATTACACAGAATCGGCAGCATGCATGTCATGACTGTTGGATTTCTATTACTCTACTACACCTGCTAGTAAATTATTTGCCATGTAGAAATATCATTTCTACCAAAAACTGTGATTGATCAGGTTAGTGATGTCTGAATGCTATTATTTTGAACACAACTGTATGTCTTCTCCAACCGCTGCGCTCCCCACAACCTCACTAACACCCCCTTCCCTCTCTCTGACCACAACCTGATCACCTTCTCTATCTTCTCGTCCTCCAACGCTTACCCCTCCAAATGTCACACTACTACCAGCTATAACCTCCGCAACCTTAACCCTGCCCCCCTCCACTCTGCAGCTGATCAACTCCATGACAGCATCCTCCCCCTGTCCTGCCCCGACTTGGCTATGACTGCCTACAACAACGCGCTGTCAACAGCCCTTGACTCACTAGCGCCTTTAACCACACGCAACATCAGACCCCGACCGCTCCAGCCCTGGCAGACTGATCACCCCAAAAACCCTCAAACGACACAGTCGTGCCCTGGAGCGACTATGGCGCAAAACCAAATCCCAACAAGCCTTCACCCGCTACAAATCTGCCTTCCACACCTATACCTCCTCCCTCCACGCAGCCAAACAAGCCTACTTCCTGACCCTCATCAAGACCCTCTCCTCCAATCCTCGCCGACTCTTCACCACCTTCAACTCTCTACTCTCTCCACCCCCACCTCCACCCAGCACCTCACTCACCACCCTTGAGATTGCCAATCACTTCAAAAACAAGATTGACACAATTTCAAGGACATCGCCGCATCTCACACGCCCTCTCAACCCGTCCCCTCACACACAGCTACCCCCTCATCCCCCCTCCCCATCGATATAACCCGCAGGGACTTCATCGCTGCTCAAACTCTCCCTCCAACCTCGTTCCCCCTCACTCAGCTACCCCCTCATCACCCCTCTCCCACGGCCCCACCACTGCTCTGACCTCCACTTCCACCCTACCCTACATTCCTCATACTGAAGCTCCCCCAACACTCCGCACCTTTGACCTTACTACCATCGAGGAAGTCTCCAAGATCCTCTCTGATGCCCACCTCACTACCTGCCCCCTCGACCCTATCCCCTCACAACTCCTACGTCCTCCCTCCCCCTCCATCCTACGCTCCCTCACCCACATCTTCAATCTCTCTCTCTCCTCAGGCATTTTCCCCTCCCCTCTGAAACATGCACACATCATCACCCCCATAATTAAAAAGCCCTCCCTGGACCCCAATGACCCAAACAACCTCAGACCCTTCTCCCTGCTCCCATTTACATCTAAACTCCTCGAGCGCCTCGTCTACACCCGCCTATGCTCTCACCTCAATGACAACCACCTCCTCGATCCCCTACAGTCCGGCTTCCGTCCCCTACACTCCACCGAAACCGCCTTACTCAAACTCTCCAACGACCTGCTAACCGCCAAAGCTGATGGCCACTATTCAGTGCTCCTACTCCTTGACCTCTCTGCGGCCTTCGACACAGTCGACCACCCCCTCCTACTCAAACAAATTACACTCCCTCGGCCTCAGAGATTCTGCTCTCTCCTGGCTCTCATCCTACCTGTCACATTGCTCCTTCAACGTTACCTATAATGCTACCACCTCCCCCTCACTCCCCCTCTCTGGTGGGGTCCCTCAAGGCTCTGTCCTTGGGCCCCTTCTCTTCTCCATCTACACCTCCTCCCTTGGCCAACTCATACACTGTCACGGCTTCAACTACCATCTCTATGCCGACGACACACAAATCTATCTCTCAACCCACCCCCCCCTCGGTCCCTGCCCGAATCACACACCTACTGAGCGACATATCAGCCTGGATGTCGCTCCACTTCCTTAAACTGAACCTCTCCAAAACTGAGTTTCTTGTCTTCCCCCCAGCCTGGACACCACCCCCCATTGACTTCTCCATCACATCCAACAACGCCACCATCAAACCCGCCCCGCAGGCCAGAGTACTTGGTGTCATTCTGGACTCCAACCTATCCTTCCAGCCCCAAGTCCAATCTTTAACAAACTCATGCAGACTCCACCTCCGCAACATCACCAAAATAAGCACGTTCCTAACCCCAGAAACCACTAAACAGCTCATCCACTCCCTCATCATATCACGACTCGACTACTGCAACTCCCTCCTCACTGGCCTGCCTCGCCGTTGGCTATCCCCGCTTCAGTCGATCCTGAATACGGCTGCCAGACTTATTTACCTTTCCAACCACTCCGTTTCCGCCACCCCCCTCTGCCAATCCCTCCACTGGCTTCCGATTGCGCAACGGATCAAATTCAAAATCCTAACACTGACGTACAAAGCTGTCCACCATACTGCCCCGAACTACATCACTGATCTAATATCCAAGTACCGCCCAGCACGCACACTCCGCTCCTCACAAGACCTCCTTCTCTCTAGTTCCCTGGTCTCCTCCTCCCATGCCCGCCTCCAGGACTTCTCCAGGGTGTCACCCATCCTCTGGAACTCCCTGCCCCAACCCATCAGATTATCACCTACTCTCCTCTCCTTTAGGCGCACCCTGAAAACCCATCTCTTCAGGGAAGCCTACCCCACCCCCTGCTAACTTGCCGACCTCCTCCACTCTTCCTACCACTCCATCCCCCACAGCTATCTCCTCCTGTACCACTATCCCCTCCCTCCTAGATTGTAAGCTCGAAAGAGCAGGGCCCTCGATCCCCTCATGTTTTGCATTGTATTGGTATGGTTCTGTCACATGTTCTGTGCTCCTTTGTAATGTACAGCGCTGAGCGAACTATTGGGGTAAACGCTAGTGCTGACAGCGAACTGGGCCGATCCTGCTAACTCTGCATTTTTGTGGACACTATACAAAGGAGGCACTAGTATAGTTCTGTTCATGATCATTATATTGATCTGTACAAACACTAAATTAGTAATGGTGGTGATCAGCGACCTATAGTGTGCGGGCAATCTAACGCTAGATGACCCTGACGCTATCTGATGTCGCTAGTGGCAGAAATACAGTGCTCAATGAAAAATTCTATATACTGACACTGTACTAATGGCATTGGTTGGGTGACGGGATGATCAAAGGGTTAAATGTGCTACTCTAACGCATGCATGTAAAATGTAGCTGTGCTTTTCTCTCTTCTTTCCCTGAACCTGGGGGGGGGCGCAGGTGCGTTCACACCTCAAAATAGGAAGCGATGCATGATTACGTCACTTTGGCAAGAGCTGCAGTTGGCAAGTAGTTTAAAAAAAAAAAAAAAACTCAAAAAAAATTTTTTTTTTTAATTCTTAAT